TCTTGGTTTCCACCTCCAGCACTAACATTAAAACATAAATTAATGACTTGAGTGGATGTACTTGGAGGTGTTGAAAATGAGAATCACATGGGGTTTGCCTAGAGGATGTGGGTTCCAGGGTGTGGCCTGGACAACTGTAAGGTCCCTTACTGTCTGTCTATCTCTCTTTGCCTGCTTTCTGGTGGCCAAGCACTGAGCACGTTTCCTCTTTCATGCCCATTCACCAGGAGGTTTCTGTAGTGGAGTTGGCTGACTACACTCTAACACCATGAGTCAAAATAAACCCTTGCTCCTCAGAGTTGCTCTCATCAGGTCACAGTGACAAGGACCTGACTAACACCCTGTGCATCTTATACTGTTGTGTTTTCTTTCAGGTCCGTAGTCTACTTTAATATTTGTATAAGGTTTGTGACTTAGCTTATTTCCTTTTTGCCAATGGATGATACCTGCTGTCCCTGTACTATTGCAGACCACACTGCCCTTATTTCACTGAATTGCTCTCTTGGCTTTGTGCAAAGTCATCTGGCACATTTCTCTGCGTCTCCTGGTGCTCTTTTCCAATCTGTTGACTGTTCTCTCTGTCTGTCATTCATCACAGTTGTGGTCATGGGATGAGTCTAGAAGTCTGATGGATCAACTCATCCAGCTTAATCTGATTTTCAAGCTATTTCAGCTGTTGTCATTGTTGTGCCTTATCAATACAAATTTGGCAGTAATGTTGTTTTTGTCTAAAATGTCTTAATGGGATTGTGATAGGGATTTTCTTGCTCCATGTTTCCTGGTCCTAAGTTTTTTCCTATATCACATGGTGCTTTGGCTTTTGCCTTAATTGTCAAATCAGATTACTGAGACTTGAGGAGAGGAGTGCCTGTTATGGCAACATACACTTCTATTTGCTGGGTGCTTTCTTCCTGCTGATATTCTCTAGTCCCTCCTCTCATCAGTGCTTCCTGGACAGAGACTTTTTCTGACCCTTTCATGGGGCAGGTTTGCTGGTGGCAAGTTCTCTATTTGCCCTCACTGAAAAATGTCTCCCTTACCTCTTCATTCTGAAGGGTATTGCCAACCGATGGGGAATTGTGAGAGCTCTTATTTTTTTGAACCTGAAAAATGTTTGTGAGTTTCCTTTGGTATTCACCTTTGTGATGAAAAGTCATTATCATTCAAAGGAGTGGTAGAGTAGAAAATTGTGTGGTTATGCTGTGAAGATGAATAGAAAAACTGGGCCATAGGTGAAGGCTATTCCATCATGTCACCTTGTGTTTTTTTTTTTCCTAAAATAGGAGAGATTTGGTGCCATGCTCACCATGGAGGTTCCAAACTCACTAGCCTTAACTTAGTGACCCAGGAGAAACATTGAAGCACCTGGCATGGTGGGTGGTGACCATGCCTGGAATCCCAGCAATTCAGAAGACAAACCCCAGGCAACTTAGGGAGACCTCATCTCAAAAAAAAAAAAAGGAGAAAATCCTTTGAAATAATGAGTGAATTTCATACCTCTTTTTACACATTTCTGCTTTGATTCAGGCCTGAAAGAAATGCTGGTTCATCCTGAGGAACAGCCAGGAAGATGGTGACCCAGGTGTCCTAGAATACTACAGGCATGACCAGTCCAAGAAGCCCTGTGGATAATCAGCCTGTGATGATCCACACCAGTCCTCTGTGAGCAGCTGCATTCAAACATGATCTTCACAAGAAGTGGATGCCAGGTGGCTTCATGTTCATTGTCCAGACCAGGGATCACACATTTTACCTGGTGGCAGAGACAAAAGAGGACATGCATAAGTGGGTGCAGAGCACTTGCCAGGCCTGTGGCTTCTGGCAGGAGGTGGAGAGCAAAGGTACAGACACTCCAGCCTTCTCTGGAGGCTGAGAAAGCCCTGAGGTTCCCTTTGTAGGTAGAGCAGTTGTCAGCTGAGACCAGATGTTAGGTGGACCCCTGTCCCTCACTTTACTGAAATGGGAAAACAAGAAATATGGGGCATGATGAAGCAAAATGTGTTCTATGATGTAACCTCTGGCATCTTGACCCCCACCTCCATCTGCCAATGTGGTACCTTGTCACTCCCTCTGCTCAACATGCCATCCTCAGGAGATACCTCCTAGGACCTCCCCTATATAGCCCCTGCAGTTAGGCTTGGCCCTCTGTCCTCTGTGATTATTGTTGGTGAGGAATACAGGACTCATCCACATCCACCTAGGAGAAGACAGGTGAGAAAGAGTGAAAATTTACATTTGGGTTTTGATGACAGTTTTTTTTTTTTTTTTTTGAGTGGTCCTCCTATCTGGAATTAGTGATGACATTTGTACAGCTGTATGGATATACTAAAAGCAACAAAATTTTACATTTCGAAATGATGGCTTATATAGCATGTGAAATATTAATCATTTTTTAAAGAAGTTCCTTGGTTTATGAACGACCAACCAGGCTCAGGTTCCCTGGACTTGGGACTAGCTGTGTGGACTGTGCCCCGAGCTGTCACACAAGCCCAGAAGCTTTGAATTATGCCAGTCCTTACTGCTGCAGTCCTGATGTCCTGTGAGAGAGGGAATCGTTTTCATAGTAGCCCAGGCCCTAGAAAGTGGTTGGCCAGGTAGGCTTGGGATGAAGTGTTGATGTGGAGCTCTTAATCTCTTCCTTGGGGAAGCATCACAGGCCCGTTTCCTCTCACACTTCATGAAGTGTAGCTCAGCTGTTCTCAGTCAGTTTTAAATTCCTGTGTGATCTCTGTGGTGGGAAGCTACTTGGTTCTCCATCCATGTCTTCCACCCTGTTGTATCTGATGCTGCTGCAGAGTTGGTCAGCTGACTTCAGGGTCAGTTGATGTGGGTTCAGCTTGGTGTGGGGACAGGCATCAAGCCAGACAGTAATGGTGAGTTCATTGCCAGGGCAGAGACACTGGCTTGGACACCAAATGCTGAGTGAGCTGAGGTTTTACATGATCAGGAAGATTGGTAGTGGAATGATTGAGTAGTTAGTCAGTATTGTTGTTTTCTTTGGAGTGTGTTCTCTTGGGTTTTTGGCTTCCTGTTCATGAGAGGGTGTTCTATTAGCTGTCTGCAGGTTCTGTTACTACATGTAGGACATTATTGGGCTGTGAGAACTTCAGAACTCTGAGGTCTTTCTGAAGAAAACAGCTGACTTGTCCTCCTTCTCAGAGGAGTTTAGTGTGTTTCAAGTTAGCAGCTTTCTTAAAATGTGCACAGTGATTACAAAACCATCTTCCTTATTCACCAGTCAGGGTTCCCAGCTGAGTTGGAGCTGTGAAGGAGCAAGGAACCAGGATCTGACCACTGTTCATAGAAGAGCCTGTTGCATTAATGGCTCTGTCATGAGTTTCTGGTTTTCTAGTAAGGAAACAGTACTTCCTCACTGACTAACTCTGAACCTTTGCAGAGCTGATGATCTTTCTGTTGACATTGGCTAGGTTTGCAAAGGCACTCCACTTTCATTGCCTCCAACTCCCTTGAGGCAACCCCCTTCCCTGTATGGGCCTGTTGAGAGCCTTCCCATGCATTTTTCTCAGGATCCAACCCTGTCATAGGTGAGGAGAAGCCTGCATTCACACCAGCCCTCCATGGACACAGAAGGATGTGACAGAAGCTCTACCTTGAGCTTCTCCCTGAAATCAGAGCATAGTATAAATCCAACTAACAGGTTATAACTAACAGCCTTTAGAGCTACCCAGGATTGACCCAAGGTCACAGAGCTGGGTGAGAGTAGGTGTCTGTCTCAGCCAGGTCTGATTTTTTATTGTGATGTATTGCCTCTTTGACAGTGACCTCTGCCAGATCCAGTCCTGGGTGCAATAGCCCTTTGGACTGTAAGCTCTCCTGACCCCTTCCTCCAGGTCCTATATGACCCTGGCTAACTCCTCACTAACCCAGTGTGGTTCAGTGTTGTATGGAGAACCTGCCCAAATCCACATCACTTCCCAGATGATGTCAGCAAGTCTGACAAAGGTTCTTATTCCTTCCTTCTGTAAATTGGATCAAATGCTCTCTTCTCTCACTCAAAAATGCTTCATGGGTGCAACATGGACACTTTGGAGATCTAGAGTTGCAATTCCTGAAAGATGGTTCTGTAGAGGGTGACCCTGCATCTTTCAATCCCATGTCACACATATGAGACAAATATGAAAATTATGTATCACATGTGGGATTGGTTTCTGGGTTTTTTTGTTTTTTTTTTTGGAGAGTGTTTTGCTGTCCCTGGGGTCCAGCAGGGACAGGCATGAGGAAGCCATGTCACAAACATAGCAGGAGAAATCCTGTGGTCTAATTTCTGAGACACTTGCCTCTCTGTGGTTAAGTCTGAATTTTCCTTTGAGGTCCTTCCTTCCACTGCCACTGGATTTTCCTGAGTGCATTCCAACTCTCTGGGATTCTCATCTGCTTGATCTTGGGCCCTCCCATTGGCACTTCACCCCAGAAACTGCACAGCCTTCTCTCTTCCATCCTGCTGCTTAGGGGAGTTAGTCAGGACAGAGCTTAATCTCCCCTTCATGTGAGGCATGAGGTTAGGAGACATACTCAACATCCTCAGAAGCAGAGATGACTCAGCCCCAGGGTCCTGGCATCTGGTTTGGAGCTCTGTGCTCCTACCCCTGTCCTGGAACTGAGGCAGAGATTTTTGAAAACAAGTTCCTGCCCCCCAGAACTCACTTCCAGCTGGGAAGATAAAACACACATATATAAACCTGTGCCCATGTTTTCAGTGTGGCTTGTGGTGGCTGCACAGGCTTCAACCTGACGTTGCCCACTGTGCTGGTCAGGCTGGGTAAGCAGGATGGTAGGGTGAAGGGGGAAATGAATGAGAGAAGACAGAAGTCAAAGGGTCTCTGTAGATGCCACATGGAGCAATCCCTGTGTCTAGGAGGGACTCCCAAACTCTCTGTGCTTGGGCACAATGTGTCAGAAGTGAAAAATGTGCTGGAGGATCAGGACTTGTGTCCTCTGGAGGATTAGTAAGACCCAGAGTGACTGGAGGGCATGGAGAATGTCCATGCAGAACCATCTGTGGCCATGTGGGTCTGATTTCCTCTGTCACAGCTTCCTTCCCTGAGGCCTGCAACCACTCCCCATGGGGAACAGAGAGAGCGGGAACCTCTGCTGAATCCAGGAGCCTTGGAGCCAGCTTTCACCAGGTGAGTGGGTTTTGACTGGCTCTGCAGACTGTTTGGACAGGTGTAAGGTCACAATCCATGATCTATCAGTACATCCCCTCTGCTGGCAACTCCCTCAAAGCATCTTTCCTGGGTTTGTACCTCAGTTCAGGATCTTGGTCAGTGCAGAATCCCTAGTCTGGAAGGACTGAGGCACTGGCACCTTGATTCAGCTGGTGGGCAGAGTGGGGAAACCTGGGTGGTGGTCTTCCATGCAACAGCCTCATCCACAGCATCTCACCTAGAGTAGGAATGGTGCAGCAGGGGCTGAGTCACGTGGAAGAGAACACAGATCAAGTGGAAGACCCCAGATGGTATGGACGGCTCAGATGGCTACCAAGGTGACAGCAAGCATATTGGTGCACTGAGTACTGTGAAATGCCTGGTTGTAGGGCCAGGGTTGAGCAGGAAGCTGAGCTATTAACCTCCACTGCAGCTTGTGACCCGTTCTGAAAGTTTCTGGGCATGCACCATGGCTCCAGGCCCACCTTCCAGGGACAGGCCTGTACACGATACTTCTCCTGATCAGCTATGGGAAGCTAGCCTGGTGTGGTGAGGCTGGAAGCACATACAGCCCATGCAGTCTGCAGCCAGGGCTGTCAATGCCCATTAAACCTCTGGGGTGAATGGACCCAGCCACCAGGAGTATTTTACACCAAACTTACCCCAGATGCTGGATCCAGGAAAGCTGGAAGAGACCTACACACTTCTCCTCTTCCCAATCCCACTTGTCTTCCTGCCTGGACTCTGCTGGCTCCACAGTCCACAAGTCTGGCCAAACCAGTGATGGCTATATTGACTTGAATAGAAATTTTCACTTTCTTCTTGTTTCTTCTGGTCAATGATGGCTGTTTCTTCATTGTCCTCTCTGTAGCCAGCAGGAGTGGATGTGAGCCATCTGAATAAGGCCAGTTCTGAAGATGACTACCTTCCCATGAGCACAGTTTTCTCAACCCTTCAGGACATGGAGGGAGTAGGTGGGAATTCCCAAAATGTACATAACCGAAGGAACCCAAGGAATCTTCAGTTTGGCTCTCATAACTGCCCACCTGAAGCCCTTTCTTTACACAAAGGCCAGGTCAGAGGAAGTCATATCCAGCCACCTGTGGTCAACCGCAGCCTCAAGCCAGGCTGGCAAGGTAAGTCCACTCTTTCCCTGTTCTATCTCTGGACAATACCCAGGCTCTGTTGCTTTATTAGGTATCAGATGCATGCTGAACTTGGGGTTTGGACATTGGGTAAATCACTGAACCTCAGTCGTGTTTCTTATCTGTGAAATAGATAACATGCCTTCCCCTAGGTTTGTGGAAGGAGAGGCCCTAGTGCAGGAACTGGGACACTGCAGTCAGATCTGGCCCCTGAATGGGCCAGGAGGATGGGCTCCAAGTCTCAGGTCTGCAATGCCTGGCTCTGTAGGCCAAAGACCACTGATAGGTGTCCAGGGGAGGAACAGGAGCAATAGCACCAGCAGAAAGAGCACTGGATCAGACCAACAGCAACTCAGTCCCAGTGTGTGGAACTCAAGTTGCAGGGCCTGTGGAGCCACTTCTTTCCACAGTGGCCTACCCAGCCTGCCCAGGAGGGTGGGGAGTGGTTCCAGTGACCAGTTACACTTCAGATGCAGCCTCTTTGTTTATTTTATACCATCATAAACCTGGGAAGGAAAACCTGTGGTTGAACCACATGTCCCATTTTGGAGCCTGCACATGTGGGCACCATAAATAAAGTAGGAAAAACATATTAAACATATTCAGGAGCCTCGAAAACAATGTGAGACTGTGTCTCAGTTTCCCTATGTGAAACTGGAGGGCCCATGAAGGCCTGCATGAACATGCTGTATGTCTGCCCTTGTGTGCTGTTGCTGTTACTGATCACTGATTTCCTGCTCCTGTTCCAGCAAAGCCAGCTGACCTGGATTTGTGTGCCAGCATCCCCAGCCAGCCTTCCTCTCAGTCACCCAGGGCCACGTGAGCATCCATGTTTGGAGGGTTGGTGGAGGAGTGAGATGGTTGGGCTATCACTGACCTAAGGTTCCAGAGGTCTGGACATGAGCCACTGCTGCTGTTGGCCAAAATACCTCCTGAGGCTGGCTACCCTGGTATGTGAAGGGGATAGTTGTGTCTCAGATCAGATTTTAATCTGGGTTGGAATAGAGCTCATGCCAGCTGGATGTCAGTGCATGCAGTTGAGACTATTTGTCCTTCCACAGCAGCTGCACTGAGGTCTCCAGCTCCTCTCAGGAACTGTGCCATGTCCCTGCACTGAGGACCAACAGCCTACACCCAAAAGACAGAGAGGGAATACTCGTCCTTGCTGTGAGCTACCCAGGACCTACTCCCAGCTCCCTGTGGCTCTTCTCACTTGCCTTAGCCCAGGGTCCCCACCTCTGGCTTCAAGTCCTTCCTGATCACAGGACACCATCATTAGCTGTGGAGAAGACACTCTTCCCAGGAAGTCTCTAAGAATCTTTATGGGTGCAGATGGCAAGATCATTGCCTTCACATGGTGGTGCTAGAGGCAGGGAGGCCCGAGGGTGCCTTCCTCCATCTGTACTAAGCTCAGTCAGTGCAAGGAGTCCTCCCTGATGACCTTGCTGACAGGGCACAGCTTCACAGCATCTGGTCATAGAACACAGGGTCAACCTGCATCATTTCAGGGGACCCCATGAGAATACTAGACATTTTAAAGGGGTGGAGGAGGGATCCTGGCTGCTCTAGTTGCCCAGGGCCATGTGAATATCCATGTTTGGAGGAAGACCAGCTATCTGCAGATGTGTTCACGCCACTGGTGGGAGGGTCCCGGGAGCTGATTTAGAGCAGCCACAGACATCCTATGCACAGTGCCCACCGACAACCTGCTGACTTCCTGGGACCATGGCTACACAGGTGTTTCACAATGGGCAGGTCACTGTACCTCTCTGAACCAGGCTATCCATGTCCTGAGGAGTAGGGGCAACAGCAGTGTTTGCAGTGTTCAATGGCTGCTTTTCCTCCTTTTGATAGCAGATAGCCTAGGGGGAGCAGCTCCTACTCTCTGTTGCACCCGTAGATAAGCCCCTGAGAAGACCACTGTCAGTATTGAATATACGGCTCTGGACTTCCAGTCAAGCTGCCCAAGTACCTGCCAAAAGGTGCCTGGGGTTAGGGGTGTTGGATCAGGCTTCAGGGAATGCATCCCTTGGCCCCCCTCCCTTAACTTTCAGCCTTGCCAACTGCACCCACCAGGTCTCTCTCTCTCCACACAGCCTCACACATGAATTCAGAAGCCCAACTAGCTTAGGGTTATGGAGTCAGGGACAGTTGGAGCCCAAGGGTCCTGCCTACTGCTCTGAGTTATGCTCTGAGGTGTGTTCACAGTGGGGCAGAGTTTTAGGCATAGCATCCTACAGAAGAGCCCGCCAGTCTAGACAATATGGTGTTCTGTCTTGCAGAATTGAGAACTCTCCAGGGAGTACACATAAAGCCCTTGGGCCCAGACGCCAGTCCTCCTCCCTGGAGATGAGTGGTTTAGACATGGCTCTGGGCTGATTTCCACAGCCATGGAGCCACCATGAACCGCCTCCCCTCGAAAGAATCATCCATACAGCAAGGGGGTGGACTGGGTTCCTTAAACTGGGACCTCAGGAGGCTCACAGAGCCTGTCACCTCCAAGATAGGGACAGTGTTGCTTGGAAGTCAGGCTGATGCACATGCTCAGAGGAAGAGGGCTCCTGAGGCAGGCAGGTCCACCTTCTTTCGCCTTCATCTGGAACTACCCTGCTTGTCCTCTTCCTGTCTAACTGGTAACTCTGCCTCTCTTTTATTAGCCATCCACATCATCTGTTTCCTCTGATGAGGTTTCCTATGTTGAATTGTACAATGAAGAGACACAGGTCCTGCAGCGCTCCATGCAGGAGTGAGCAGCCAAGTGTCAGTACCCTGCCCCTGCCAAGGGAAGCAAGCCATGACACAGTCCCACACCACTCCTCCAAATTATTTGTTTGCCCTACACCCACCTTCTGCCCCCTCAGCCTCAACTTCAGGGATTTGAGTCCTTGCCTAGGATGTGAGGACTGACCCAGGCGCTTCCTGGCTCACCCAGGACACCTGTGTCCCAGGGTTTCTTTGACCACTCAAGAGAGTTGAGACTTCTATCACCAAAGCTATATTTCTACTACCCTAGTGAAAGGTTTTGTCCAAACTACTACCTCAGCCCTCATCCTCCAGACATGAATATTGTGAAAGAAGAAGCCTGTCAGTCTTCTCTGTCAAACCACATAAACTCCATGTTTGCCCCCTCACTTCTGACTGTCATTTCCCTACAATGGCTGCCTTTCTAAATCTATACCTCCTCAGCCTTCACTTCCTTGGTAACTGTTCATACCAAGGATCATGTGGTCACCCCAACCAGTGGGTAGCAGCCAAGTACTTTTTGTATTGGATAAAGAGCCAAGCAGACTGCCTGCTCAGAGTGCTTATTTTCAGTGTTGATTACTGTGTTCCATTTTGCATGTCGGGGAAGTAAAGTTCTTGCCCTGCTGATTGTTTTCAGTGTTGATTCCTGTGTGCTCTTCAGCATGTAGAAGTAAAGTCTGTGTCACTGAAAAAGATGAAGAGTCTGTTTATTTCATTTCCTGAGGTGCCCATCACCCTGTATATTTACAACATGGTTCTGGACTCTGGGCCAGGCTTCATACCCATGTCCCTGCTTGGCCTCAGTCCTCTTCCCTCAGCCTCCATTCCCAGAGCAGGATGAGTTGGCCCTCTGGCTGGGAAGGAAGGTCCAGCAGACCAGGTCAGCGTGGACCTTTCATCCCAGTTCTTTGTGAAGACAAGCAAGGTGCCAATGGATGTATCAGTTAAAAAAGAAGATAGATGGCAAAGGACAGGATCCCAGAAATGGAGGAGCAGCTGACAACCACATGTCCCTTTTAAGCTGAGGCCATGGCAGGGCAACTGTAGCCAGCATCACAATTCAGTGGGACCAGAGAGGCAGAGCTTTGGTCAGGTACTTGGGCTTGTCCCCAGGGCACAGACTAGTTTTACTCAGCATATCTAACCTCTGCTGAGCCCAACATTCCAGATGACACACTGGACTTGATCACCTCCCCTGCGTTCAGGGTCATCTAAGGTCAGTTGCCCTCTGAGGCATCTGAGGGAATCTTGAGTTTTCACATCGAGTTCCGACCAGTCTGCAGATATGTCCAGATACTGATGTCCTCCATCCTCCACAGCGGCCCCTACCCCCAAATTGCTATGAATATCTGCCTGTTTCCAATATTTAAAGAGGTTAAGGAACTTGTTTTAGGTCCTGAACAGGCTCAAGTAGGTCCTGTTTTGGGGGTAATGTGGCATTGGCCAGGAACATGCAGGATATTAAATACAAGTAGAAATGCCACTCAGAGAGGGCTACCTAACTTTTATGAAGGGGCTGGGAATGGAGTCCACACCAATGTGCCCCATTGTGGGCAATCCTGGTAGTGATGGTGCCATATGTGGCCCCTAGTTTTGACATGGTGTCACCTCAGAGTCCTCTCCCAGATGATTTCAGGAAGGCCAGATTGCAGGATGCCCCAATTTCACTCTGATAGAAGTCAGGCGCTCTTGGCTGGGAGCAACAATAAGTCCACTATTTCAGAATCTGATTCTCTGATATTAATAGAACTGTACCAGTTTCTGCCAGCTCATGTCTCACAGATGCAGAAGGGAGTCCTCTGACACCTCCAGAGATGAAGACATTGGGGCCAAAACGCAGCCACTTCCTCATCAGAAGCAGGTAGCCCCTCATGGCACACTGTTACTCCCTCTCTCACTGTTTTCCTCTGCTCTGCCCTACCAGAGGGGATGACCAGATGTGTGTGTTCAGGGCTGCTCCAGGGCCATTCAGAGTTCTTCTCCAGCCTCAGGGATGAGGTGGTGCTCAGGGGAGGTGTGAGGTGCAGGATCCATAGCCACAGGAAGCCTCCTTTGTAGCAAGCCTCTGTCTTGAGCCTTCCACCCTAGTGGAGGTCCCCATCACTCTCCACCTCTCCAGCTTCTCACAGAGAGGGAAAGAAGGTGGTGTTGGCAGCAGGTGTTCTGGGAAGCCCAGTCTACTCAGGATATGAAAGTCTCCACCTGGCATGGAAGCCTGTACTGTGTGCAGTTGGTATGTCTTGTCCTGAGACCAGCATCCATTTTGATTCTGTCCCACTGCCATTGAGCTCAGCCTTCCAGGTCCTCTCATCCTGGCCGTAGACAGGCCTCACTTCTATTCACAGAGTACATCAGCGCACAGGCCTTTCACCTTGGTGCTGTGTGTAATAAGTCACCAGCATAGGTGTGACACAGAGCCTGTGATACTGTCACACTGCACAGATGGTGAAAGACCCACCATATGCTCAACCAATAGCTGCCTAGTGCCTAGTGCCTAGTCCTATTCCTGACTGAGAACATGAGTCTCCTCCCCAGTTATGAGGGGCTGGATCAGTGTTAGTCACAGTGAGATCAGCATCTGCCAGTAACCAGGCCACCCCTATGGCCAGCTGAGCCAGGAGCTTCCTCACAGACCTCTCTGTAGTAAAGCAAGGACCCCTGTCTCAACTGAGCTGGTACAGACAGTGGCACCTCAAGCCCTGTAGCAGGCAGGGTGAAAGGCTCCACTGTGCTTCTCTCCACTGTGAGGCATTCACCATGTCCCCACTTCAGTGTGTCTTGGCCATGCTCCTGCTCATGATGAGGCTTTAGCCAGCCTCCACCTCTCTGTCATTGACCATGCTCCTCCCCTCTATGAGTCATTGCCCCTGATCATCTACTATGAGGCATACCCCTGCTACTTCACTTTATGAAGCATTCACTGCTCTCCTCACCCCTAGGATGCATTCACTGACCTCCACCTCTGTATGAGACATCCACCCTCCTCCTTCCCTCAATGAGTCAATCCCCCCCTGTTCATCCACTATAAGGCATACCCCAGCTATTGCACTTTATGAAATATTCATGCCTCTTAACCCCTAGGATACATTCACTATCCTCCACCTCTGTATGAGACATCCACCCTCCTCCTTCCCTCTATGAGGCATTCACCATGTTGCATATATATATATAT